CAGGAATGTGAACGAAAACATTGAGTGGGTATATTTTATAAACATAGCTGGTCATCTTGGTGACTTTTTATGGTGTTATTTTTCATTTTGTTTCTACGGTGAGTATTCTTCAGCTACATTGAGAACAGCACTTTAGAAATTAAATGTAATTTCAAGTGGCATTGTTTCAACACAGAGAATGGATCAAGCAACACTGACAAATTTAAAGCAGAAATAATCACATCTTACAATAATACCAAAGAGAAAAATCAAAAAGAATTACTTGACCAAGTGCTTGATAAGGATGTCCAGCATCTCTCTGTTCTTCTCTGGTAACTTATGCACAAGCGCATGCACTGCCTCAACTCTGTAGTTCTGATCATCTGACTCTATTAAACAGAAAACAAATATTGTTGATAAATTAGAACATGTGCCAAGATGCAACTACAAATGGCACCAATGCCTGTACGCTAATACACACATGCATTACAAGAAGCCAAACGAAATTAGCTTTTAAAATGATAAGGACGACTTGATTATATTTATTACAACATTCCAAAATCTGTATTTCAAGTAACTCGCCAAAAGCAGTTACCACCGATACTGGAACCAACAAAATTTGTGGCAATTTTGATCCGATGTGCCACTTCAGTGAAATCCAAGATTTTAACCCTTGATATTTAAAATATCTAAAATTCTTGAGTGTCTTTCATTCTTAACAAGGCAAGAGGAAATGGGGAAGTAACTTCAAATTCTAAACTGGAGTCGTTAGAAAAACAGTCTTATACAGTCTGTATCTAATTACTCCATTTGTGAAAAGGAGATAATTATCATCTCCCCAATTTCTTAAGGCAAGCTGGGAAAATAAACGTCCCTGGATGAGAGGAATGAATGCTATAAAAGAATTATCAGCCCATATAAAACAGACACACATATAAATCAAGGTTCAAAATTTCATGCAGAAGGTAGTCACACACAACCTCTAAAAAGATCAGAACAAACCACTGAACAGCTTCATCTAGTGTGACTTCTTTGCTTTGAGGGCTTTCATGTGGCACTGTGCTGTCACATACAGTGACCGGGAAGAACTCGGATCCATGGCTGGATGACAGAATAACAGACCAAGGAGGAAAATAAGGATAGTAACTGAGAAGATTAAGGGTTAGAAACAATATTACTTTCATGAAAGTGCATTTATTACTTTACTTACTAACAGCAACAATGAAATCTTTGTGCAGCTTGAAAGTCATCAGTGGTTCTGAAAGACACCTGGTTGTAAAAAATATTAAAAAGAAAATTTAAAAAAATGCATTACTCAAAGTTTTTTAAAATTTTACAGGTGTGATTATGGTAGCCCTCAACATCTGCATAATTTATATTGGTATGTTGTAGGAAACCCAATTCAGTGACGACTGATTGCAAGTAGTATACAACTCAATGATGTACATAGTCCAAAAATCTCTTTGAGTTGAGTCTGGTGTCACCATGTAGGTTAGTAAGGGAAATACTACCGGCACTGACTTCAGTACAAAGACTCACTGTTTTCTGGCTTCCATACTGTAGAAGAGGAATAAATACCACTGCAGAACATGGGACAGTGGATTGCACAAGTGATCTTTTGCCCAAGAAAGGCAAAAACATGATAAAATTTGGGACTGAAATTCTCATCTGAGAGATCCTGGAAGAGTCATCCTCTGAAAGGCAGACCGTGAATTGCCTTATAGACACAAACACACAGCTACTGCTAGCTCACGTTCTAATTTCACAAATACAGTATCTACAATGATATGTGCTTCTGAAGATGTATTATACATTTCTTCAACCAAAGCCAGTCTTTTCAATGATGTTTACATGAGCATTGTATTATAAATCCTAGGCATATTTTCCAGAGTGAACAGGGATTTCTAATGCTGCCATTTGTTAGGTGATCAGTTTAGGAAATCTAGATTTTTAGAAGGCATAGAACACCCACCATCTGGATTTGATGCTTTTTATTATATTTCTTTTGAATGTTATATATTGAGACCCAAAAAGAGTTATGTCGGAAGTACCATAATTCTTGAAAATTCTGTCTCTTATTAGCAAAATTTTTAAGAGAAAATGATAGTGTGGGAGGGATATCCTATCCAACAGCATAGGATAAAAACTCTATGCTTTTGCAGAGATTTTTATTCTGCTCCAACAATGATGCCATGAAACCTCATGGTACATAGCTTAAGGGATTCAGAAAAGAAAGACTGAGCACAAATGCTTTGTGGTTAACGTAAAAGATTTTAAATAAAAACACGCAATTAATTAAATTCTGCCAAATTCTGGCTATATATATAAGGCATGAATATCTTAATAAGGCAGAAAGTGTGTGACAAATTTTAGATTTATTATTACACATAATCACAGGGATATTAGGCAAGATAATAATATACTCAGTTATTACTATGCTAATGGATACAAGAAATGTAATATGATATTAATAAGCAAAAGATTAATGGGCCAGAAAAGGAATACTGAGATTTGTGTAGCATCATACTTACCTGAGGTAGTTTTTTAGTCCGCTTGTTATTGTTTTATTGTCCCAAAGTTCCATATCAATATCCATATCAGGAGGAGATTTAGGGGCTGATAGAAATTTGAATTGTGATTGTGTTATAGTTTGACTAACACACTAACTAGAAAAGCAGCAAAACAGAAGCTAACAGATTAGTCATTGAGCTCATGTGATTACTTATTAGCTAGATTAACTACCAATCTGATCAATTTGAATCTTTTAATCTCTGCCAAAGTATTAATAAAAATGAACTTAGCACTCATATTTAGTACCTGTAAACATTAACTATATGCACTGTATCAAAGCGTAAAGTAAGCCCAAGTCAACAAAGAATTACTAATGTATTTGGCTTAGACATTCAAACACAGGCATCAGAGAGCCAAATTAGCAAGAAAAGTGAGACTAGAACAACTGTCTATTTAACGGAGTTATGCTGTGTTGCAGAATTAAGCTTTGGAACACTTCTGAAACATGCCAAATAGATACCAATAAATAGAACTTTAAAGCTAAAAGAAAAAATGCATGTTATCAGTAATTTGCTCATGTATATCAACGATTGCATGCAGAAATTGAATACTAATGCACATAAGAAATTAGTTAGATGGATCATTCATTTTAAGACTGCAAACTCGATTTAGTGGCAGTAAGTGCACGTACAAAACTGTAAATATTATGACACACATTTCTGAGCACAGCAGTTAGGGCAATAGGGACCACAGCACACATGCTGCACACTGACAAAGGTTCACTTCAGATACTTACAAAATGTGGTATTCATCAGCTTTTGCACCTTGGAGTTTACACCACCTATTCTGTACAGTCCCAGGATTGTAATACCTACATTGGGAAAACAAGCACAATGAAAATAATGAAAATATGGTTATTGCAATATACGCTGATGCATCCTTAGTGTAGGTTTTCAAAACATCTAAATGTATTTATGGAAAATTGTACAATTACATTCTTGAGTACTGCTTTACCCTACTGAATTTTCTTCTGGGATGTTAACAAATGCATTCCACTGAATCCATACCATAATGTACAACACAACCCTTTTGCATGGAAATGACCCAAACAACAAGGAGATGGCTGGGAAAAGTGAAAAACAAGACCCAAAAGCAGTCTTAAAACACATTACATGTCAACAAGTTTATCTTAGCTAGACTTCAGTGGAATTACTATGCATTTATATTTGCTTAGACCATCAACTCTTCCCATTAGGATGTAATTGACATTTATAGGAGAAGTAACAATTGTACCCAAAATAAAAACATATACTGTATACTGTTGCAACACTGCAGCTGAGAATTTATGTTATGCATGGATCCCCATGCAAAATAGAGATAGTGAAGTCCCAATTTACCCATAAGTTTCAACTGTCGTTTTTTTTTTAATAGCACAGATACTAATAAAAAATGTTTAAAATGTGACATTCACAACACAGTATTTCAGGATTCCAGAGATGATAATTTTATTGTTTTAAACTGCCTTTTAAAATCAGCAGGATTTAAAAGTCTTCCCTTCTTCCCACTTCAGGTCTTACCCATGTAAAGATTGTCCACTTTTCCTTTGAGAATAACATTCCAAAGTCTGATCTCACTTAAGATAACTTAGGTGTTTCGTTTTGAAGCCCTTTCTTTTTCGTCAGAAAAAAATGCAAGCTCTGAGTCAGCAGTGATTCAAAAGCTACATTAACATTGCTACCTGAGAAACTGAATTCATGTTGAGCTCAGTGTTGCACAGAGAGACCACACAGCTTTTGGGTTAGAAGAGAGCTGCATACCTACAGTTCAGTGCACGGACAGGAAAAGGTTACCTCTTTTTTATGGATGACAATACAGCCATACCTCTTTGTTTGAAAGGGGATAATTAAAATCTTGCTGTGAGTTGCAAGATATCACCTCACCAGTAGAGTGATTACTTTTTTCTTTTTGTACATTTCCACTACCAAAAATGAGTTTCTAAACATTTAAAAATGGATAAACGATGTGCAAAATGAGTGAATAAAATGATAGGAGTTATGCTCTGCAAAAAATATGTTCCAGCAGAATGTATTCATGACACTTTTTGGTCTTCAGGTTTCACGCCAGAAACCAAAGTTGGGAGCTGAGGCTCCCTACAGGTTTACCACGAGAAAGCACAATTCAGTGCACACAGAACAAGGACTAAAGATGTGCGCAACTGTGTATTAAGCTGTCTAAACAACATGAAATTACAGAAAATGCTTAAAAACCCCCACTTAAATGGTATGTTAAGAACTGTTGTTGGAACTTGTGGCAATAGCTTTAAGTGTAAAGCACACAGATAAAATGTGAAAAGTACAAACCAAATGATGAACACAGTACAAAGCACAGCTGTAAAACACGTAAAATTAATCAAAGAATTTCAGAAAAAATACTCATAATAATCTAAAACACAATTTGTGATTTAATACACACCTCTTGTTTCTACAGCATGAATACATTTCCTCACAAAGTTGAAACCTGCTTCATTTAAGAACACTATAAAAAGAACAAAAAAAAGTAATTTTTAACTTATCAATACACAAAATCTCTGTGTTTAGCTACATTCACATGTTAGTCAAGAAGGACTGATACGCATCTATCCATGAGATCATACTTATTCTGTAATAGTATTCTTGTAGGTATATCGTTAGCACTCAAAATCCAAGTTTCTAATCATTAGTGTATCATTAGAAGCAAAATATTCTACTGTCTTTCTCAGAAATCAGTAGCCCCTCTACACACATAGCTGAAAGCTCGCTGCTTTAAAAGGAGATTACTGTACTCCCTTCTCTCTGCTGAGGAAAATGGCTTTAAGAGCTCAGGACCCACATTATGAACAGAATATAGTCGCTGGTTTTAATACAACAACATTCTTTGTTCCTTGCACAAGCGCATAACTGCTCATAAAATGGTAACATAGGAAAACAACCTTTGTTATTGACTTTAATTAGTAAGCTTATTCCAAGTGAATGTATTTCTCATTAATTTTTGTATCTTCAATGCTCACTGCTCTAACTAGCTAAATAAAGAAGATCTTAAAGCAGCATATTTGTCACCATTAAAATAAACACCACCATATACAAAACAGATGTAGTGGCTTAAATTTTAGATTTCCAGAGGCTCAAATATACCTTCTATGAAGATGTATGTCCATATCTGACACACCTCTCTCTCCCTTTGAGATACACACACCCACACATATATTTGAATTATTTTTACATATTTGTGTTAATATAATATTATGTTAATAACATACATGTGTAATATAAAGTTAATACAATTATACACATAAATCTCATAGTATCCTTCAATATACTAATTTTATTACTCAGTGTATGTGTAATAGGTGCATATACACCTAAAATCAAAAAGATGTGATGGCCTGAGACCAGTTGCATGAGGTTCAACAAGGCCAAG